ATATAAAGCGCACCGGGTTATAAGCCGCACTGCCGGTTTTGGATCAAATTTTAGGGTTTTCAGTGCGGCTTATAGTCATGAAAATACGGTACTCACGAAGATATACTGTAGGTGTAACTTTTTATGTAGCTAATAGACAACAGTATATTTGGATAATCTAGTATTTAGTAATTGCAGCACTGGAGCAGAAAAAAAATAGATAAAGCAAATACAGTAGAACATTTGGTCACGACCATAATTTGTTCCATAACTTTGGTCACAACCCAATTTGGTCATGACCCAAACCTAACCAAAATTAATGCAAAATTAATGTAGCGGCCATGTGAGGTCAGTGCTGTTTGGTGCTTACAAAAAAAGTGGCACAGAAGGGGAAATCAGCCATGGTTGTGTTTGATCACCACCCGAGTATGTGTTTGTGACTAGATTAAAAAGTTTTGTGAATTTTTTGGTCAGAATCCAATTTGGTCGTGGTCAGAAGCGTTAGTCACCAGAGATTCTACTGTAGTTGTCTTCCTAATAAGAAATGGAAAGACAGGAGATCATAAAGTCAATCATGTTGTTTGTAGCACAAATCAATAATATTAAGAAGATTACAATAAGTGTGAAATATAATATGGAGATAATCTCAATAGCTTTTCAAAGTATTCCAGAAGAAGGATCTCAGGGTAATTATCATATTTTTCACTCCATAAGATGCACTTCCCCCACCCCCAAAAATCATGGTGCTGTTTTTTGGGTGAATAGTAGCAGTACTGTAGTGGTGGAGTCCTTTTGCAGTGGATTTATGCATTTTTACAGTGGATTTTTTTCATGGATTTATGAAAGAGGAGGGTTAAACAGAACCTATAAAAATAAAGTGCAATAAAATGGTTTAAAAATTATGAATTTAATTTGACAGGAATAATGATGAGTTTGTCTCTGTTTGTAACACAAGCTGATAAATAACACCATTTTCCTTCCACAAAATAAATCAGAATTTTCTCTCTTTCTCTCCCCCCCCCCCCCGTTTGACATGAATGAAAGGAAAGCTACTATGTTGAATACATCTGAATATGAATCTATGACATGGTTTCTTCACATGCTAAAAGACTGGATTGGTTTTGGTTACTTGGAGGACTTTCTGAACACTGTACTTCAGCCTCTACTGCTATTACTAGTATTTTTTCTGCTTATTTATTATGTAATTGCAGGCATTGTTTTAATTTGCTATGCATGCACATTTTGTTTATATATTTGGAAGAAAAAGTATAACATAAAAGGAGACTTTTCCGATGAGATATGGAAAAAACCAAAGCTTTGCATAGCAAATTTGGTGATTTTATGCGGAAAGATATGGCACGGTAAGTAGTTACTTAAATAGTCTCAAGATAATCAAGAAGGTAGACAATATATTCCAGTCAGAGTCTTCACTTGTATGTGGCCCACAGATTGTCTAATATTTCTTGAAACAATGTGCTGTGTGAAACTCGCATTGTATATTTTATATTTGCATCAAAATGATACAGCATAAATATAGTCATAAGTGGTAATATAATAAAGTCAGCCCCAAAGCAGTCAGAGAACCTAAATAAATTTAAAACAATAACTCCATTTTGCTGGGATTTAATCTCCTTGTTCCATCAAAATCTCAATGAAGTTCAGATACTTGATCAAGTGGGAGGAGGTGAGAGAGATATTCTTACAATTTTTCAAGAAAGTAAATTAATAATATTAATACAGATATAAGTTTAAACAATGGAAAAACAGATTGCAAAGATAATCACAGTGATTATAATAGTCAAATGAAAAGCCAAATTAAACAGTAAGGTAAGGAGGAATAACCAATGAATCTCAGATACATCATTAGGAATTTAGAGTACTGCAAAATATTTCATGCCCAATTTCTAATCAAAATGTTTCTGTATTAAAGTTTAAAAATATTTAATTAACACAATTAAAACCAATAAAAAAGAAATGAAGTTATAACTGGTGAAAAATATAGCAGTTAGCAGTTAGACTTATATACCACTTCATAGGACTTTCAGCCCTCTCTAAGCGGTTTACAAAGTCAGCATATTGCCCCCAACAACAATCCAGGTTCTCATTTTACCCACCTCAGAAGGATGGAAGGCTGAGTCAACCCTGAGCCGGTGAGATTTGANAGATGGAGGGCGAGCTGCTCCGCTCTTCTCCCCTCCTCTGAGTCCTAGAAGAGCTTCCCAGGCCACAAGTCCAATATATACGGTATATAGTATATTTTCACCCGGTTTCCCCTGATCTCACTTCTTATTCCGAAAGCACCTTCAGTAGTTCTTGCTTTGATTCTTCATATCATTAGCAGATGAATGAACTAGGTGGTTCAGGGGAAGTGTGCAAGTTAATATTGGAAGGGAAGTGTGAAAGTGGCATCAACCCACATTTTTCAGTATTGCTTTCTTTGTAAAGTCTCTAGGCATTTCTTCTATAGCACACCAACAAGAAAATGGAGTCAATATAGCAATAGCATCAGCACTTAGATTTATATACCACTTCATAGTGCTTTATTGCCCCCTGTAAGCAGTCAACATATTGTCCCCAACAATCTGGGTCCTCATTTTACCAACCTCAGAAGGATGGAAGGCTGAGTCAACCTTAAACTGGTAAGAATCCAACTGCTGACAATCTGCAGAATTAACCTGCAATACTGTATTTTAACCATTGTGCCACCATAGTTCCTTATGTATATATATAGCCAGATACTGGACAAATGTCATTTAGTTTTAATCCTATTTATTTATATACTTCTTACACATGTTACATTTCTATTATCTATTTTAAACCTATTTTATTTGCTCAGTGTTGAATGCTATGTGCTTATAACCTATAGGTGTTTCTGACTAAGAAAAGGTTGAACACCACAGCATTTACTTTTCCTATCTAGTACAAGTATCTTCCCCACAACACCTGTAGAAGCCAGCACTGTGTGGAGAAATAAGGCCAATGTTACACAAATTGGTGCTACAAAATAGAAATAATCTCTGCAGGAAAGAAAACAACAGGAAGAGTGGCCACTGCTAAATAAATTTTTAAAAATTACACACTGGGGCAAAAAAACATGCAACAGTGGAGCCCAATAGGTGAGCTATCCTGAGTTGCACAATAGGCCATTGTGGCCCCTATTGCATTTTCAAATGTGATTAGCATGGTATTCTTCTTGAATAGCTATCCTGCTAAGTGAAGGTAGAACAAGTTTAAAGCTGTTAGGTTTATTTCTTAGTAGCCAGCTTCATTCATGCTGGGACATTCTTCCTTGATTCCACTGGATTTAATTTATTCAAGATGGTGCTGCACCCTTATCAAAAGGTTATAGTTTAGAGTTCTTTTGCATCCAGCTTTTCATTAGAGCAGAAAAGACTTCTGTCATACAAGACCCCTTTCACCACCTTATGCCCATTGCCTAACAGCAATAATCTTGCAGTAGTAATCCATAACTTGGCAACTTCCCACTTAAATTATTGCAGAATTTTATGTGAGGAGCTTTGTTAACTCAGAAGGTTTAGTTGGTTTTTTAAAAAAGCTATAGCAAGAGCATCATCTGGAATTTGACCTTTGATCTTCAGTGAATGGTATTTAATTTCTGGTTTCAAATTGCTGGCTTTGACATTTAAACCTTCACAATTTGGGCCATTTGCCCTTTTTTGTTATCTAAATCCCAGTCTAGCCATCATAAGATTTCCACCAGATGCCCTGTATTGTAGAGGTATGACAAGTTGCTACGGTGGATAAATCTATCCACACAGCCTGTTAAAGTGTCGGAGTTCCAAGATATAAAAAAAAATTAAATCAAGATATTTTTTCTACCTTTAATCTAATGTCTTAAAACCAATTTTGTTGCATTTATACTATTATACTGTATAAAATGTACAATTCAATTGAAAAACAAACTAAAATCTTTTAGGAGAGAAAAGTGTGTATAACCTTAACCTAATATTTTGCTGAAGCACCTCTTGATTTTATGATAGCATTCAATCTTTTAGGATAAAAATTTATCAGCATGACACATCTTGTCTTTGGAATTGTCGCCCACACTTTGTTGCAAAAACATTCCAAATCCATCAGATTGTGAGAGCATCTCCTATGCATGGCCCTTTTCAGGTCAACTGGATTCAGTCTGGACTCTGACTAGGCCATTTTGATCTTCTGGTGAAGCCATTCTTTTGTTGATTTGGAGGTATGCTTTGGGTCATTGTTGTGCTCAACATTTTAACAGGAGCCTGAAAGTTTTATGCCAAAATTTACTGACATTTGTAAGTTGTATTGTATTTGTATGTAATTCCTTCGACCTTGACTAAAGCCCCAATTCCAGCTGAAGGAAAGCAAACCCAAAGCATAATGCTGCCACCTCCATACTTCATTGTGGATATATGTACTTTTGGTGATGCACAGTGTTGTTTTTGCCCCAAACATACAATACTTTTTGTAATTATGGCCCAAAAGTTCAACCTTGGTTTTATTAGATCAAGATCAACATTTTCCCACATGCTTTGGTCAGATTTGATGTCTTGTCACTTACTCCCTAGACCAGACATATGCAGAATATGGAAGATTGTTGCCACAGGTAGTATGCAACCAGTATTTGCCAGTAAGACCTGCAGCTCCTTTAATGTTGCTATAGACCTCTTAGCAGCTTCTCGGACCAATTTTTCTTCTTGTTTTTTCATCTGTTTTGAAGGGTCATCCTTTTCTTGTGCCATATTTTCTCCAGTTTTTGATCACTGTCTTCACTGTGTTTCATGATAAGTATATCTAATGCCTTAGCAATTTTTCTGTATCCTTCACCTAATACCTTCCAACAATGAAATTCCTCTGATACTTTGTAAGTTCTTTGCAGACCATGACATTTGCTATAAAAGGCACTATAAATGTCAGAAAAATCCTAAACTACGGCTGAACTTAATATGGGCTTGATCGAATCACTTTGATTGCAGGTGTACTACTCCTATAATCAGTTTGAATATATTAGTTACTTCTGAACACAGCCACCTACCTACTTATAAGAGGGCATGGACATGCTTTGCGCAACCACATTATTGTAAGCTATTCATATGACTACTGGAAATAGCTAGAATTCAAATTTTAGAGGAAATGGTAATTGGGCACCCAAACTGAAGAGGCTAAAATAGTTTGAAATGAATCTCCAAACATTAATTATGTCTTTCAACTCTCGGTGCTGCAAAAAGCTAAACTGAAAAACCAGGAATATCTTGTGTTTTCCTCTCTGTTCGAAAAACATGTTTAACATATCTGTTAAAACACAAACTAGCATAACACTGTTCAATTCTTTAATAACAATAAATAAAGTATGCTATATTATAAAGTTGTACACAAGTCCAGCAGCTTCTGGTGATTAATATATAATTTTGAATTCCCTGGAAGACTCTTATCCAAGTACTAAAAAAGCCTGAATTGTTGAATTTCCAAATCTCTGAAAAGATTTAGCTAGATGTAGCAAACACATGTTTCAGCCATATTAATAGTGAGAGCATTCACTAGAAAGGAAACATAACTAATCAAACCATCAACACAAAACAATGCAATCCTAATTTTGTATCAGTATATGTCCATTCATACCATAATCACTGTTGCCTTATGGCTACATTCTTCACAGAAAATCATCTGAAAGCAATCGAGTTCCTATACAGCAAAATAAAACATAAATCCCAAAACAGAAAACCACTTGAATTTCTCAGCAAAGAATTGTCAAATGTGATATTATAGCATTTCCAAGGCATTTTAAGGGTAACCAGCTCAATAACAGGGAAAATAACATAAATATTGGTCTGTTTTCATTAGCATCTTACATAGATACTTAAACAAGATTACGCAATTACAGATTAAATATTTTGGATAGTTATTTTTGCCTATCCAATTTTAGCCTAATTCAGCTTCCCACACATTCCTGTAAAATAAGTTTTAGTAAACTGATTTATAGATTTCACAAGTAGAACAAAGACAGAATGCAAATTACATAGTTCTGCCCATTATCTGCTAGGAATTGGATCTCCACTATCAAATGTTTCCCTATAGTAAGCTCTTTGGATTTGTGTTGAATTGCAAGATGGGCAGCAAAAAAAATGATAAATAAGAAATAAAAAATAAATTTAATAAAGTCTGTAAAATCAATTTCATTTTTTTAGAAATGAAACAATCATTGTAGCTAGGTAGCACACTCTGGGAAATTAAACAAATAACTGGATCATAAGTATATTTATAAATGAAGGTAAGATTTAAAGTTCTTAATTCCATGACAGAATTATTAAAACCATAATTGCAAGAGAAATAGTGATTCAAAACAATAGGTTTTATAAAATCTTTTAAATCACTAACCTCTCTGACATAATTAGTAGAGAAGAGGCAAATAGTTAAAGAGATGCAACAAAATCTGAACATTATCAATCATGAAGTTGCTTTCTAAAAAGACCTGTTTTATCAGTGTGAATCAGATATCATATCATAAATAGCACTGGAAAAGGTTGTGGCTAGTTTGTAATACTTTCCTTCTATCCATAATGCAAAAAGATCTTCAGTATGTATGAAAATTTTCATCTAGTCAGTAATAGAGCAGATGAAGTTATATGTATGAAATTCAATGGATCAGATGTATGTAATTTAAAAAGTATATGATACTCACACATACACAAACATTTCCTTTATATAATTTTCAAATATGTTAGTTGTGAAAAGAATTTATAACAGATGCCAACACTTTTAATAACATAAAAGAAGACTGGAGATTAAATAAATTACTTCCACCCACCACCATGTAAAATGAGAACTATTTTGTAAGCTAGTTATGGAGAAACTTATACCATTGAGAAACAGAGATCGAATTCTCCTTGTAATCAAATATTTTTACATTTATTTTGTAGTTCTGTTTAGAACTAAACTGTTGGATATCAGCTTATTTATACTCAATATTTCTGTTTATCTAGTATAGGGTACTGCATCATTGGTTCATTTGATGAAAGCTAATGTGCAGAGTTGCATACAGTTAGGAAATACATACTTTTTTCTAGAAATCCCATTGAGCCCAAGGAGGTTTACTTTTGAGTATGTCTGTGTATCTATATGTGTAAAACACACACACACACACAAACTGAAACATACAGTCTAGAAAAAAATTCTCAAACCTATATTTTCAAGTAAAACCAACTGATTAAGTGTAAATATTCCTCAAATATTGATTTTGTTCTAGAGCTTGATTATTCAGAACTCATAATTTAACCTGAAAATTATACTCCAATATGTACATTTGTAGAATTAGCCAATAACTGGGAAAAGATTTAATTGCAAAAAGATTTTTTACACCAAAACATTACTTTAACAGCTGAATTTCCTCAAAAACTGTCTAGTTCCAAGGAAGTCAGAATAACATATTGTTAAAATGCCCATTTCTAATATCATTGTAATTGATGGCCCGTATGCATAAAACATTTGTAGGCCAATTTTCAAAAATACATTATTTTATGTTCAGCCCATTTCACCCTCTTATATTTGATTAACCAGCTGGAAGACACACACTTTATTATCGGATTATTCTATTTTGAGAGAGTAGCCTAAAATAATGCGTTTTTAAAGAAACTTCAATTTTGTGATTACCTGATGGCTGGGCTATAAGGGCTGCGTGAGCGACGTCTGTAAGGACTCAGTGATACATCCCCACCACACTCGAAAGAACTGTGCCGGCCGTAGCTGGGTGACCGACGCCAATAAGGGCTAAGAGAAGAACGGGGACTGGGGGACTTGCGGTTCCGTTGGCTTTGTGAAGCTCTGTGACTAATTGGGCTGTCATCTCGATAAGGGCTGAGTGACGACCGTTGACGCCTGTAGGCCCTGGGTTCTGTCTTATCCTCCCGGTAGGCTTTAGGCGGTTCCTTGTAAGCTGAGGGAGGCTCTTTGCCTGCTTTCGTCCGGTTCCGGTGGCTTTTATTTTCCCGGTCTTTCCGACTGCTACTGGGCGACGCAGCTGAGCCCTTCCTGCGGCCGTCGCTGCCGCCGCCGCCGCCCCGGGAACCATCTCGGTCCTGGCCACCGCTGTGATTGTGGCGGCTGCGAGATTTAGAGGAAGAAGAGGATGCCTCGGCTCCCCCCCTGGCAGCCGCGGCCACCCCCTCCTGCTGTAACGACACCTTGTCCGCCCCCCGCCTACGGTGTTCCCGGTGCCGCTCCCGAGAGCGACGCCCACTGTTGCTGCGGTGTTCCCTGCGCGGTCGCCGGATGCTCCGATCCGCCTCACCGCGGCTTGAGCGTTGCTGGTTGCCCCCGCCGCCACCGGAGGACGCCGGACTCCCGCCGCCGCTCCCTACCCCGGCCGTCCCGCCTCCCACCGGTCCCTCCGACTGGGAGCTTACGTCGTCGTATTCTTCGGCCGCCGCCTCTACCAGTGGCCCCAAGCCCGCCCCAGTCCCGCGTCGCTCCGAGGCTGCGAGGGCCGCCCCTGAGCTACCTCCACCTGCACCCCCTGATCTGCCGCGCCGCCGTTTGCCCCGAATCCCTGATCGCCGCTTGCCTCGCGGTCGCTTCCGCTCCCCCCCTTCCCCACAGCAGGAGGAGGCGGCGCCGCCAGTGGCCGCCAGGAACAGGAGAGACTGCGGCGGCAGCGGCGGCTGCAGGAGCGAGGGCTGCAGCAGCGGGAACAGCAGGGAAGGTGCCGGCGGGCCCGCCACAGGTGACGGAGGCAATGAAGGCGGGGGCGGCTGCGCCGAAGCGTAGCGCTTCCGCCGCCGGTGATGCAAACGCTTTTTTTCTGCCACTGGTGATTCGGAGCCGCCGACCCAGGCCCGGACACCGCTCCCCCCTCCGAACGTCGCCGCCTCTGAGGTACTCGGCATCGGTATCTCTCTCCGGCAAACAAGAATCCGTCAAGGCGCCCAAGAGGTGGAAGAGAAAGAAGCAGTCGCCATTGGGGCCCCTTGCCAGGTTCGACTCTGTAAGACTAGTCCCTCCTGCCGGCCTATAGAAGAATAGTTCCTTCGGCTGGGACCGTCAGGTGTCGCTTCCACGAGCTCCTAAAACCAGGGATGGCGGGTTCCTCTTCGCGTGACACAAACCGGTCCCATTTCCCGGCTGGGGCCCGTGTTAGGCCTCACTCTCGGTACTTATGCCTCAACGATTCCTCAAGGCCGTGCCCGAACGCTTCGTGCTCCACCGCTTCTTATGCTGCCCTCGGCTCGTCGGTTCGCTCCGTATCCTGGAAAACGAGTAAGGGATGAGAAGGAGCAATTGCCAAATAGTCTCCGTTGTCCTCTACGTTCGCTTTACTCTTACTCGCGCGCGCACAGAAAGAGACAGAAGGGAGACGGCCGGCGCAGCCAGTACAACTGCGCGTGCGCCACTGCGCTGAAGTCAGAAGCAATGAGCCTATCTCTAAGCTAGAGAGTTCGGTTTGTTCCTTTTCCAAACGCAATCAACAAAAACTCGCGAGACTTCCCCCCCCTCTCTCTCGTAATAATCTCGCGAGCCTTCTGGTTTTGCATTGATAGTTGAATATATCATGTCCTTGAAAGACATAGGACTGAACAGTAATTCCTTGTTATAAAGTTCGAATCTGAAGAATTTGGGAGGAAGAGCCGATTTGGTTAAGACATCTTGCTACAAACTAGTTCATTGTGAGCTCCTCGAATCTGTGGGCGGTAGTCCGGCTTTAACAATAAAAAAACCATTCCTCTCTCAGTCCAGGACATCAGACTCGGGGACAAACCAGACGCTTAATCCCTCCCTACCGCAGCCAAGGGTTCAACATTTGGTTGATCGGGAGAGAAAAAGTGAACCCTATATCTGCAGGAAAAATGCTAGGGAAGGAAGAAAATGTAATTGGGAGACAGCGGCAATGACTTTTAATTTGGTTTAAACCAATAGCAGTAGACTTATATACCGCTTCATAGGCCTTTCAGGCCTCTCTAAGCGGTTTACAGAGAGTCAGCATATTGCCCCCAACAATCTGGGTCCTCATTTTACCCACCTCGGAAGGATGGAAGGCTGAGTCAACCCTGAGCCGCTGAGATTTGAACCGCTGATCTAGCAGTAGCCTGCAGTGCTGCATTTAACCACTGCGCCACCTTGGCTCTGGGGAAACCAGCCTTTCTCCAACCCAAAAATGGAAAATGGTAGAATTAAAAATATTGTTAACAGAAAGCTACCAAAATCCCACTTACACTATTTCTTTAGCAAACTTAAATTCTGAAAGGTGCTGAAATATATTTGCAATATCAAATACATTTTATCCTATTTCCTACTGGACCTTTGTAGGCTTCTATAAAAACTTGAATTGTGACAGGATGCTATCCAATCTTTTATCTTTTAAAGACTTGAAGTAGCCTCTTAAACTCACTGTTCGCCGCCAAAGCGAACGGCAAGTGAGCAGAGGCTCTGGAGCAAGGCCAGAGCCAGGGAATGATGTGTTCCTCAACTCGGCCAAAGCAAATGGCGAGTGGACAGAGGCTCCAAGGCCTCAGAGAATGGTGCTAAATGGTGTCATGCTTACCTTTGGTGAGTAGAGTGGGTGACCCATGGAGGTGAGGCAAGACGATTAGCTGGGCCGCATGTTGAAGGTAAGGGGGGGCAAGCAGGTGGGAAGGGCAGGTGGGTGAGCAGTGGTCAGGCGGGGCTGGCAGTGGGCTGGGTGGGTGGGGTGAGCGGCAGCCACCGGGCAGGTGGGGGTGAGCATTGAGTGGGTGGGCGGGAGCAAGTGGCAACTGGACAGGGGCAGCCAGAGTTGGTATTTGCTGGTTCAGCGAATCAGTTAAAATTTCTGCTACTTGTTCACCTGAACCGGCTGAATACCACCTCTAGGTCCACCCAGTTTTTCATTGCAGCCTATTGAAACCCTAAATTACATCCCCTTTAAGTTCCCACGAAAACTCTCATCAAACCCCTATTATGGCGGAAGAGGAACAACAATTTGAAATCCTTGACTCTCACACCCACTAGCATTGAACTGAATACCTAGTGTCCTGGAAACATTTACCTCCCTCACAAAATGAGTGGGTAGCTAAGAAAGATGTTAGGGCTCCTGCATTGCTGAAATAGTTTCATTCGAAGTATCCTAACAAACCAAACTCTCTATGATGTTCATCTTTCTATTCTCTCTTACAGGTAATCTCATTTTTTTGAAGAGGGGAAGCATGTCAGATCCCTATTGTGATACTGCCATTCAAGTGGGGAGGGGACCCCGGATTCTTTTACTCACTAATTGCTATCATCCTGTTTTCCTATGTATCCTGTAATTCCCTGGTTTATAACTTTTACCCTGTCACCTATACTGCCTTTTGCTTTGATTTACCTTGGGGTACTAGGGAGAGGGCCATCTGTTTTCTCTCTGTTTGGAAGCCTCACAGAAGTAGCACATGGGAGTGACTCCTTGTGGGCTCATTCAGCATAAAACTGAGGGGAGGGGTTTTTAACCACTTTATTCTAATGGAATTGTTTGAGACGAACTTGGATCTTACTTTGCATTGTCTTGCATTCACTTCCTTTCAATAAAAGTTTTATTTTGAAATGCTAAAGTTTCAAGAGTCCATGCTTTCTTGAATAGGAGGGAGAGGCAGGACCTGAAATATGCAGAGATCTAGATAAATAGGCTCCGTTTAAACGATCAGTTAATACAAAATATGTTTGTCAAGTCTATGCAGTTAGTTCATTTGCTTAGTTAGCAACTATATGATCTCTAAATGTACTTTCATTTATAAAGATGCATAAATGTAGTATATGAAGATTACTCACATTACTTGAAAATATTGAACAATACTGCCCCTGCATAACATAGGATTCCATTTGTGTATCCCTATGTGGTAAAAGGGTAAGGTGACCAGATTTTCAGATTGGTAAAGAGGGACACCATTGATCCGGGGGGCGAGGGGGAGTCTTGATTAAAAATTTTATATAGAGCAACAAAAATTTTCATAGAACGCAAAAATAGTATTGTAATATATTTTTTATTTCAACATAACTACGATTTACAAATATAATACATTTATTTACATTTATATTTATTAAATATATTTGCAAAAATTATGTTCAGTATTATTTTATTCTTTGGCATATTTCTCACTTGAGTGATTTTTTTTTTTAGTAGATTGCTGTCGTTGTTTAAAAGGTCATGAAATTTTTTACAAGAATTTGTTAAATTATATTTCACACATAAAATGGCTTTCAAAGTCTCAACACTTAATTGTGATTTTTCTGATGTCCACACTTTGTTTACTGTAGAAAAAATGTGTTCAGTTGCAGCATTAGTTCCTGGTAAGGACAGCGCGTAAATTGTCTTAGACTATTTAAAAAAAGATTCTATC